AAAAATCACCTTTACTGCACTCTTATCGCATCGCCTTATTGCGCTATTATCTCTTAAAGAACGTTTCTTTCTTACATTAAACGAATTTTTGATTTTAAAATTACTTCGTTCAAATTTCAGTTTCAGTTTCTACCATTTCTAGCAAAAACAAAACTTAAGTCAACTTACAAAATTCATGTATACCCTATCCTCAGCATCTGATTAATTGAGTTGGTCACTTTGTAGGTGCTCCAAAGTGTTTATTATGTGATCTGTTTGATCTGCGCTGTGATGGACTATAAAACCGAACAGAAGGATCGAGGACCACATACAAGGCATCCATCCGCACCGAGCTACTGGCGAGTGACCAAATTACACCGTATCTGCGATGCTTTGTATTACTTCGGTACATTTCCTGTCGGAGTGGTATGTTGTCTTTGATCATCATCACATTCTGCTTCATCAGCGGTTTTTTTGGGTAGACTGAATTCGGAATGACTGAAGTCTTTTCGAGTAAACTCATTCATTTCAGTAGTGCAGATTCGTTCAATTTTTGTTCGTATTTATTCGTTATTCAGTTAGCAATTTTTCGTTCATTTATTTATACTAATACAAATAACGCTGTGTTCTTCTTTCCATAGAGTCATTCTTTCGATGATAATTTTAGTTTATTTATTGCGTTAATTCAATTAGTGCACTAAATGATAATTCATTTACAATTAGTGCACTTTCACGGTTGCGCATAGTGTCTGCAAAATTCTGATCTGTATGCTAATCGAAAATAAAAACTCGATAGATAATTGTTTTTTTTTTTGCTCGATATTTCTTTCGACGTTTTTTGCTGTAGTATTTTTAAAGATGATGATAGTGTTCCGTGTTCTCAGAGCTTATTGATTTATGATTGTTATTGACTGGTGACCATTAACTGTTATAGAATGACTCTTAATATCTTGCAAAAATCAGCCGTTCTTCGTTACAGCTTCAGTAAAAGCAAAATTAAGCATACTCTCTCTATCAGTGCCTTCAATTTGTGTTTCATCGTTTTCTCATTTATCTCTTTTGCTTTTCAAAAGTGAGCGTCAACGAAACGATGATTTCTCAACAATAGCGATTTCCACAATCCATTAATGCCGAGCATCATAATCTGTTCTACTCTTTTTCTAACATGTTTCACTAAAGCAGGGTTTCTCAACCGGGGTGCGAGAGAGGATTAGGTGAGAGAGGGTGCGAGAATGGTACAATAAGAGGGGTGAGCGAGTGAAGCGGTGCGAAGGCTTCTTAAAATTTTCTAAGGGGTGCGAGGGGCAAACAACGTTGAGAAGCATCGCACTAAACCCATAAAGTAGATCTAAAAGCCATGTTGTGCTATTGAATCGTTTCTTTGAGTTTTTGACTTTCGATCTGAACTTAATAGTGCCCTCAATGGATAATGACGAATTGAACTTCATCGAGAGGACTCATCTGATTCAGGCCACATGTGTGATGTTTTGGGTGTTGTATGCAATTGAGCCGACTTTGGTGATGCCGTTATGGGCTGAGAAGTTGATACCGCGGTTCGTGAATCACGTCACGCATACCGCTCCAATACCGTTCGTTTTGGTCGATACTCTACTCACGTGCCATCATGCACCGCCAAAAAAACTTGGTTCTGTCGTTTCGGTTGCGCTGGTATTCGGGTATTACTTCATGTTTGTTTTGCTTTTATTCTTTTCGTTCTTTTACGGTGATNTTTTTTATCGTTTTGGGTGTGTTTAGTATCTGAAATGTGTGAGTACATTTTTATCGGAACGATTAGTTGATGAAATGTTTTTGATGGGTCAAAATGGTGGTGATTGATGTTTATTTCAGTGTTTTGATGGTGCGTCTGGTTGATGGTTATTGGTTATATCCATTGTTTGATCACTTGAATGGAGTCTATTTCACTGGTGTTTTCATTTTATCGTGCATCGGTTTTTGCGCTCTTTATGTCCTTGGCGATTTTATGAACACAGTTCTTTGGGGTTGGTCTCTACTCTGATCTCTTTCTTCGGTTATGGTTAATTATTGGTTTAGTTTTCGTAACAAAATCATTGAATATCAATGTGTTGAATTCATGCAGTTCCGCATCACATCACTTTTCCAGCTAGTCGTTGTTTGTGCTCTGAGATTGAGGTGAATAGTTGAGCGGAGTTCTTTGTGCATTCTTCATCGTTTCGTTCGGTTTATTTGATTTATATTTTGTCACTTTCATATTCTTCTTTGAAATTTTCAGGTGATGCGCCTCATTCGGACGAGTTTCTCAGAAGGAAAAACACATGAGCAGGAGGTTGACACGTTCTCGGTAGCGTCATCGAATGAAATCCTCATTCACTTGATGCTGCCAACCTAAATCAGCATTTTTTCGTTTCTCTTAAGATTTTTTCTTCTGATATTTATTACATCACTACAGTCTTCGTTTTCACAATCCAACATTCAATTATTCCACGTAATTGTTCATCGAATACATTTTCAGATCAGTAATTCTGTCCTTTCATAAACTCCAATCGAATTGAATGGGTCATATAAATCGAAGGTAAAGTTTATTTGATTAGTGATAAATCTGAACAAATTAAATTTGGTTTCTTTTCACAGTTTCGACCAGTTTATTTCTCTATTCCTTACGTCAAATTCAAGGAACTGTCAGATTCAGTTGATAGCTTTAGTGGCCTTTATTTGATTCCTCTTTCGTATTTCCAAGCATTCATTCGATTCGATATTAATATACTCATTCTGAATTCAAATCGCGTTTCAATTCCATACATATACTCCAATCGAATTCATATACATTTGTTTGGATGTCTTACTTTTGAGTGTTTTCTTGTCTGTGGAAGATTTTATGCAAACAGTGTTCGATCAGTATTATTTCATCGCTATTTTTTGTGTCATTCTCATGCCAGTCCAAATGTTGACTGGTGACTGGAATTTATCTATTATTTGTCGGATTTACAATCGATGTTTCGAATG